CCTCTTCCGTCTCCTTGCCCAATTCTGGCGTTCCTCAACGCCTTCCCCTGTCTCCTTTTTCATTTTTTGTACCGGTGTCCAGTTCATTCATTACCTCTTCCTGGGCTTAATCAGACTCTACATCTCCTTCTTTCCCTCAGGTAAGGCCTTTGACAGCGATAATTTTTTTCCAAATTGTTGACCGCTGAATCTTCAGGGGCTGGAAGTGTGCTCAGCACGCACTGGGCACTCAGCGTGTAGGTGCTGAATTGAGTGGGATCTTGGGTGGATTATTTAGTCTTTAATTTGTTAGGTTCCATTCTGGGTGTTCAGAGAGAACAACAAAAATAATATCCTCCCGTGTATCTGGACTTAAGGTTCTCAGACACTTTCGCATCTAAGTTGTTGAAAAGCAAGTATTAAAATATCCTGAGAGCAGCAAGAGTCTATTTGGGATTCCGAATAAGTCAAAATTTGGGGCTTGCTGTAAAGCCAACAGAAAGTAGAAATCTACATACCAAAAGAAATCTACATATAAATGAAAAACACATTAAATACCCAGATCAAAGGAGGAAAGGGGGCCTGGGAGGACAGAGCCGCGGGTCTGCAATCTCAACCTCTCCCCCAAGTCCCTTTCTGACCTGCAGGCAATTTGATAATGGCTGGGACTCATTCCTTTCCTTCTGGGGAAGATGACTTCCCCGGTCCCCACTTTATCATATTTTGTTGTTTTAGTCATTTGCTTTGAGGTCTTCGGGCTGCGGCTTGCTACTTGTAATGAGCGAAGGAAGGCACGCTGGCGCCTGTGAAACTTCCATTATTGTTAAAACTAATGCGGTGGCGCCGGGGCCCTCTCCTGGGGCTTCCCTATAGCCATTGCTTGTTATCCGGGATTTCAGTAAATATTCATAAATCTGCTATCATGGAAATTAAACAGAATGCCTCGAAATTACTTCGGGGGCATACGGGCCGGAGAGTGAACTCGGAGGATGCATTCCATTTGCCTGTTTGGAATGAAGCACGTGTTTTTTTGTCAGCAGACGACGACGTGCTCTACTCAGGAGGAGAACGCCAAGGAGCTCCGCGGAGGTCTTGGGGCGACCGTGCCCCGGGGGTGGCCGGCTCTCTCCATACTGGCGTTGCGCTTCTGCGGCTCTCATTAGTGAGAAGGGACTGCCGCCACCGACTGCACTTTAGACTACACTTCTCAAGACTGCAGTGACATCCCTTGCCTGTGAGCGGATTTTCTTCAGCCACTACACATTCACCGAGTGACTCCAGTGGGGGAGATGCCCTACATGTGAAAAAGCCCAGGAAGGCCCAGCTCCACCTGGAAAGAGGTGACAAACAAGGGGCTTCTGATGGGGCCCTTCTGCGGGACATACTTAACTGTCCGCTTGAGTCCTCCCTGCCCCGCCCCCTTTCATTGTCACTCTGTGCGCACATCTAGGTTCTGGGGTCAAGGGCAGGAAGATTCCAATGAATCTAGTAAATGCACGAAGCTGTCCTGAGCGGCAGTTTCTAGAGACAAACATCTGTTCTTGGAATCACTTAGAGGAGAGCTATGGTCTAGGAAATGAAATGCCTCAGCAGTATTTGCGGTTGTGGAAGATCAAGGTCAGGAGGGAAAAAGAACCCCGGAAGTTACTCTTGTCACTTATTTCAAAAGAGCTAATTCTTAGGGTTATTAGCTGCCTCAATTTACAACGTTATATACTCCTGAACACCAAATGCTCATTATCAAAAATTAAAGAAGCGTGGAACTGTGATTTGAGTTATGTTTTAGATAATAGACTTTGGAACACGCTTCCTGTTGTTAAGATTGACCCGACCTTATAATTAATAAAGTTGCTAGTGGGCACGGGATCCTAGGTGTAATACCTGCTCTCCCTGAGTACGAGGAAGGCAAGAAAAGCCTATGCTTTCATTGCCATTGTGGTGGTGGCCAAAACTGTACGGCAGGCAAAGCTAGGCTTTAGAGTCCACAGCCGCCACTCTGCTTGGACTCCACACATCCTAAGGTTTTAATGACGTGCTTTCTTAGAATCTCTCCCCAGGAAGAAAGCATAAGCATCCTTAGTTCAAAGGGCTGACGATACTTTAGTGGGTGTTGTTATGGTTTAGATCTAAAATGTCCCACAGCGAGTGTTCAGAGGTGGGGCTTTGGGCAGGTGACTGGGTCATGGGATCAGCGGGCTTGGTGGACTCATCCTTGGGTGAGATTATAGCTGACTGCGCGTTAGAAGATTGGGCCCGGTGGGCGGAGTGGTCACGGGGCTGTGCCTGTGGAGGGTCTCAGAGCCACACAGTCTATGCTATGTGCGCTTTGGTAGCTTGAGAGAAATAATGTAATGGATTTAAAGGAATTCAGAGAGAACTGTTCTAGTAGTGAATTTTTAGGCTTCTTCTATGTGTATGAGGGCTTGGGAGTTCAGTGGTGACATGCTGAGTCTGGAGTGAGGCTGGCTCACTGCAGTGACTCTAGCTGCTCTTCCTAGTGTTGTCTTTTCTTGTTCCAAGTTATGCTAAGAAAAAAACAAAACAAAAAACAATACAGAAAACCCCACACCAACCAACTAGCCAACCAGCAGACCAACCAACAGACCAAACGAAGCAACAGAACCTTCATTAAACATGGTCCTGTCACAACAGTTCTCTAATCAAGTATGCAGTTCCCTTTATATACTATCACGTTTGTCTGCTGTGGTCCTCTACCACACGTTTGTCTGCTGTGGTCCTCTACCCACACCTCTACCCACACATCTCCTTTACTCTTCTGGTGCCTTCGATTTTATTTTTCATGATCACATTTTCTGCAGTCCCCAGGACTTTATTCTTCAGTCAAATTCTTGCCCCATTGCAGACTTGCTTATGATGATTTCTGTGCTTCTTTCTTTCCTATTTCATCTCCAAAATGGTTTTTGTTTCCTGTCCTACCACAGGCCACAGGCCACAGACCACAGGCCACAGGCCACAGGCCACAGTCCACAAGCTTTTGCTTAACAAAATTTGGTTTACATTTTTTTGTTTTTTAGCAATTAGTGCTGAAGACTGAACTCAGACATGAACTCTACTACTAAGCTACTCCTCCAGCCTTAGTTTAGAATGTTCTGATCACATCTCTCGGGAAAGAGACTCACCAACCATTCCTAATCATTTTGGCAAGTATTTCTAACTGAAAAAACACTTTATTTCTAAATGAAAATCTTAACTTTACAGTTCAAACCTATTTGCTTTTTCCCCTTTCCTTCTTTTGCTTTCTTAGTTATGTTAGAAAGCTGTCCTCCTCTCCCACTTAAGGATGGGAGCTTTATAAACTTGCTGCCTGTTGTCTACTTTCTAAGACATCTACTCTTTAAAAAAATTATCTTCCAAGTGGATGTATTTTCTGACTTTTAGTTATTGTCTGCAACTTTCTCTTTCTAACAAACCCAGGTAGAAATACCACTTCCCACTGATTTTAAGACGCACCTTTCCTGTTGTATTTTAACATACTAAATTTCAACACTTAGCAGAATTCATCTAACAATTGATGATATCTTACCATTATCAGTGGCAATATTTTTTTTTTAATAAAGTGATCATCAAAAGGAAGATGTCTATCAAATGATCAAAAAAGGCAGGAGGAGTCCAAATAAAGGAGACTAAAGAGACACAACAATCAATGCAGCATGTGGTTTTCTTTCTTTTTTGGAGGAGATCCCAGAATTGGGAAAAAAGAAAAGCAAACAGAATAGCAATAAAAGAAAAAACAATTTTTTTGCTAACTAGGAGGAGCATGAACATAAACTCTAAATCTACATTAGTCTGTTCAGGGTGCCATAACAAAATACTGCACTGCAGACCTGTGGCTTAGACAAAAGAAGTTTATCCTGTAGTTCTGCAGGCTGGAAAGCCCAAGTTCAAGATTCTGCAGGATTTGGTTTTTTTGGGGGGATCTCTTCTTGGCTTGTAGACTGCTGCTTCCTTGCTGTGTCCTCAAATGGCCTCTTCACTGAGCTAAAGCCTTTGCACACGAGCGTTCATGTGTGCATGTGTGTGGGCAGGGTTATCAGCAAGAGAGAAAGAGGCAGCTGGACAAAGCTCTAGTGTCTCCTTATGAAAGGACACGAATCCTATCAGATCAGGGCCCCACTCTTGTCCTTCATTTAACCTTAACTACCTTCTCAAAGTCCAGCCTACAAAGACAGTGACAGGGAGTCAGGGCTTTAACACATGACTTTAAGGAGGAAAACACACGCTTTAGCCCACAGCAAACTATACATTAAGTACAACTGTAATATAATATTGACTTTCTCAGGTGTGGTAGTGATATTGTAGTTCTGCAGGAACTTGTTTTTGTTCTTTGGTGAACTTACCACAGTTTGGAAGTGTGATATCATGGTGTCTACCTGCAACTTATTTTCAATTTAGCAGAAAGGTATATTTGTATATATATTAACATATACATATATATGTACGTGCAGATGTGGCAACATTTTAATAATTGAAATGACCTAAAATGAATTTAAATAAAGGATAAGAATGTGCATCTTACCATAAGTTCAATTTTATGTTTGAAAATTTTCAAAATAAAAAGTTGGGGAAATAAATGAAAAAATAACGATGAACTCTTATCACTTAAAACATCTCAGAGCTGATGGCATTTGATAAATCTAACTAAAACAATTTTGTAAAATGTACTGTTGGCTTGCATTTGCTCCATTTGGACCCCAAGGTGTTGACCAAGACAGTCATATAAGATCTGCCAATTCAGATATTTCACTTGGAATGAGTTGTGCATTCTTGAACAAATAGCTGCTACATGTTCTATAATCATGAAAAATTGGACAATAGCAATACCCACTTCATATATTTGCCGTGAAAATTAGATGAGAATGTACACATCAATGTTCTGAGGTGTGTGGAGCTTAGTGACCAATAAGTATTAGTCAGCAGCATCACCATGGTCACTGTTGTGCTGGTCCTCTTTGTTTGAAAGGCAATAAACAATCCTTACAAGTTTAAGTGGAGAGATGAGATTGATTACAAGAGAGCCGAGGAAATTCAAAGCTAGGAACTGTAAGCAGGAGTCAGGGGAGAGCAAAGTCAGAACTGGACCCTGGCAGGACCTAAGGTAACCGGTCTGTGACCCCTCTCTCTCTGACACTTTCAGCTTCCCTCTCTGAGTTTGTTTTATTAATTCCTGTCCATAGATTAATTTTTTTCTGTTGTCTCATGCAGAGGTTGGGAGCAACATCTTTCTGACCCTGGGTCTGCGTGTCCCTCTGCTCACAAGACCAACAAGGTTTGGTTGGCGTTTGCAGTCACTTAGGGACCCATTCAGCACCCATTTCTCAAGTCCTGAGGGAAAACCTTGTCTAGTTTGGGCCGGGTGTCCGGATTGGTCAGTGGCTAGGGTGGGTGTCACCATGGTGTCTCTGCACCCCAGGAACCCTGGAGGAGGAGGAGGAGGCTGGGTGGGAGGAGGATCAGCCTGGAGGAGGAGGAGGAGGCAGAGGAAGAGGAGCAGGAGGAGGAGGAGGATACTCTGTCCCTGGGAGGGTGACAGTATACTTGCACACGCCTCCAGCCTCTGCTGTATGTCTTACTAGGGAGTGCTTCCTGCAGTCTGCTCTGTAGGATGCTTCTCCTTCCATGTCATTCCCTGTTCTCAGCACCACCAAACCCCTCAGGAGCCCAGCACTTGGTTTCTAGGAGGCCCCTGGAAGCGGGCTCATTCAGAGCAATAGGTGGCACATGGCAAAGCCTTAGTTATTAGAAGGAAGGAGGGCCAGGGACAAGGCTGGAAATGGAGATTTGGAAAGAGAAATGAGAGGACCTGTTAAGTTTAAAATCTGTGCTTTCTGGGAAACTTTGTGTTTTAACTATAATCACAGCTAAGCCTGTTTCTTTGCAATAAACTTTACTTGGATTCATGGACTCAGTGTTCATTAACATTCATGTGAAACTGCTGATTTTCCCCTTCTATTTTCACTAGCTCTGAGCTGCTTTTTGCAACTGTTTTCTTTCTCCTTAAAGAATTCTCTCATTAGAGCAGTTTCTGAGCTCAGTCTTCTGGGCGCCGTCACAGATAGAAAACCTTGCTCTCTCTGTTTGGACATTTTTCTAGCAGCCCCCCTTCCCTGGTTTCTCACTCTATAGGGCTGACTCAGGCAGGGGCTTCAAAGGACTCAGAGGCGAAGTGAACGGTAGACTCACAGAAATTTCCTAAAGATATTTTAAAACTAGGAAAAAGCGTTGGTAATATTTTTAAAAAGGTGAATAGTAATCCTTGAAAATGAATATTAGGAGTATCAGCCAGCCAAAGTCAAGAAATGCTCCCTGATGATAGATAAAAGCTCTTGAAGTAGTAATAATTAGGGTGCATTCATTCTTTTGGGGTGAAATTTTTAGGTCTTTTTATGATTTCAAAAGCGTAGGGATGGAATCTGTTAAACCAAATCCCTATTTGATGAAGGCAAGTGTACATCACATTTTCTTTATAACATGAATGTAAAAACTGTAAGTTATTTTGAGAAAGATATATGGTACATATGATTTAAGGCAGGCATTTTCTGAATTTCTGTGAACTCCCCAAATATCTCAGAAACAGTCACTATACATTTCAGGTGGTTTCACACACTGAGAAAATCACCCACCTGTAATCACACTTTTAATGAAAAACAGAGACTCCCTCAGACACCTTCAGAAAAAAGGAACTTACTGTGAAATACAAGAGTGTGTAGGGAAAGGAGCAGCAAACAAGAACAACAGAACTCTGGGAATGGATTCTGGGTAGTCTTTTTTATTGACCTCAAAAACTTATGTAGTGATTTTTTTTCATCCCCTCTCCAATTTACTGCCCTGCCATTCCAAACTAGTCAGTTATAGGCAACATGCCTGGCACGCACGGCCCAACATACATGCTCCTTGACTTATGATCGGATACATCCTGGTAAACCCAGGGTACACTGAAAACACTGGAAATTGAACCTGCATTTTAAAAGTAATTAATGTTATGAGTTATTAATTTTATTGAATGATTTTTGGGTAATAATTGCAGTACATCTATATAATGGGTAAAGAGCTAATCAGATAGTTAACATTTCTATCTCTTTAAACATTTTAAAATCAGTTTGATCAACATAATATTTATACATGCTTATGAAACACAGTATGACATCTCATGTATACTATGTATATTGGTTACATAGGGGTTATTAGTGTTTTTACCTCCTTATCAAAAACTTTGTTTTTGTTATTTTTTTTTAATTTTAAAAAGAATGGTAAAAAAAGATTGAGAAGCTCAATATTTCCTCCCTTCTAGTCATACAAAATATATAACAGGTTGTTGTGAACTGTAGTCACCCACTGCACTCCAGAATACAGTACTTCATCATTGGTCAGCAGTGCCATGAAAATCAAAACCACAGTGGCACAATGAAATATTATCATGCTCCAGTTAGAATGACTATTAAGAAAAAGACAAAACGCAAATGCCGATGAGGAATTAAAGAAAAGGGAACTCTTGTACATGATTAGTTAGAATATAAATTAGTATAGCCATTATGAAGGATAGTATGGAATTTTCTAAAAAAAGTAAAAATGAATCTATTGTATGATTCCGATATCCCACTTCATATATGCCCAAAAGAAATGTTATCAGCATATCAAATAGATACCTGCACCCTCATATTTATTGCTGCATTATTCAGAATAGCTAAGACATGGAATTAACCTAGAAGTTCATAAATGAGGAATGGATAAGAAAAATATGAGTAAGAAAATACATTATATATATATATATATATATATATATATATATATATATATTCAGCCATGTTTTGGTTAATGGAGGAAAGTTAAAGGAGGAAAGCTTTATTTGGCTCACAGTCTGTAGAGCTTTCAGTCCATAGTTGGCTGGCTCCAAGGCAGGGTAACATGGCAAAGGGGCATCGCAGAGGAGAAACAGTCCATGGCAGGGCAGGCAGAAGTCAGTGAAGCATCAAAGCAGCAAACCTTCCTTTCCCTTTTATCCCATCCAGGCTATAAGCCTTTTGGGTGGTGCCACCCACACCCAAGGTGGACCTTCCCATTATCCACACTATGCTAAACCAATCAGCAGACTAATTTAGTCATCTCACACCCTTAATCTAAATTCATACACCCTAGATCCAGCCACCTCCAAAAAGCCCTACTTATGAGCACATGAAACTTTGGGGGTTATCCCTAGATATAAGCCACAAAAAGCCACAAAAAAATATCCTATCATTAACTGGAGGACATTATATTAAGTGAAATAAGCCAGGCAGAATGACAAACATTGCATGTTCTCTCTCACATGTAGAAACTGGAAGAGTCAATCTGAATGTAGAGTGTGATTACCAGAGCCTGGGAAGGATGGTGGAGAAGTGACGTTGAGTCAGATAATGGGAACCAAAACACAGACGGAATGAAAATTCATTTTTCACTCCCCACCACTGAACACCATAACGTAGCAGCACAGTACACCATGGAGCACTAGCTGTCCACCCTCATGAGAGTTATGGTCTCCAGTATTACAAGAGAATACTAGACTGCCTATCAATAGCTGGGGGAAAGGTCAAAGTTCAACGTTCCAAGCATGGTTTCCACTGAATGCATAACACTTTTGCAATAGCACAAAGCCAAAAACAAACAAACAAAAAATCATAAAATGAACCACCTCAAGTTGGGGACCACTTATATTGTTTTCCTGTATTTATATTCCTTGTATCCTATTTTCTATCTCCTCCATTAGTAAAGAAACCATGATAGAACAGGAGTGAAATCGTGGGTGTCCTGGATGTGGCTTGTCTCAGTGCACGGGCAAATCTCAATCTATGAGATCAAAAGTGGAAAAGGAAAGAGCCCTGGATTCTACCTTATGGAAAGAATGAGGTAAGACTAAAAGCTTGCCCTGTTAGCACGATGAGGAAACATTACAGAACTCAAAGAAATGTGATTTGCTGGCTAGGAAATGGACAGATATTTTCCGTGGATCAAAGAGAACTGTCATCTGTGTCCTGGTTAAGTTTCCGTTGTTTGTATGTTCAGTTGCACTGAACGACCAACACTCCTTCAACCCCACATGAAAGAAAAAAAACAAGGAGATAAATGTCATAAATGACAAACTAGTCATCCATTCCATTCACTGTCATAAAGCCAGGGCTTGGGGTTCATTCACAGAGTAAACACCTGACCTTGGGCTCCTGAATTAGTGCACAGGTAGTATTCTTACTGCCAAAGACTGGCATATTAACAAACCTTTTCATTGGAAAGATGAGCACCCTTTAAAAGGAGGAATAAATAGTCTCTTGCTGGAGTTTAAGGGAGAGTGTGATCTTCATACTCTGTGTCCATCTATTCACTAACTGTCCTTATCAGGTATAATATATTCCTGTTGGTAGCCTGATTTAATTGGGCTTGTGGTAACTGATTCAATTGAGCACTTTAATTAGGTAATTATTTTGTTATAAGAGCCACTTTCCAGCATGCTAGAGAGAAGGAGTTTCCCATTTTTCTCAAGCTGAAAATGGAACCTAGATTCTTTTCTTTTATAACAAAGTGGAGTAAAAATGAACACCTAAAGAATTAGGCAGAGATTGCGCTGTGGAACCAAGAAAAATAAGCTTGACTTATGCAGTGATAGAGGTCAAGTGTGTTTTTGAGCAATGAAGATAGTATTGGTTTTTTCCCCAGACTGTGGGACCACTAGGTGTGTCCATGCTGTTCAGCCGAGCGATTACTTGTCTGCCTCAGTTCCCTCCATAAGTGTGCATTTTTTCTCAGACCCTATGTGTGTTAGCTAGCTTTTCCATTGCTGGGACACAATACTCAACACCCACAACTTAAAGAAAGCGAGGTTTAATTTAGCTCATGTTTTAAGGGGGTTCAGTCCATGGCTGACTGGCTCCAAGGCAGAAACATCATGGCAGAAGGACGTGACAGAGCAAAGCTGCTTAGTTCATGGCAGCTGGCAGGCAGAGTAGGGGAATAGTGCTGGAGAGAAAGGGGTGAGGGACCAAACACAGACCCAAGGCCATGCCCCCATGGGCCACCCAGACACACACACGTGTGCTCCTACCGGTCCCCAGCATGGATCCCAGAGCCATACTATGCAAGAAAACAACTTCTGGGAAGAGAAAGCAAGACAATAAAGAAATACTTTTGTCCCTTCATTCTGAGCAAATGTCCTTGGACCTAGGAATTTTTTCCCTAAGCAAATTTAATTAATTATCACCTGTTTTGAAAATTTATTATGAAAGTTAGTCATTTATTAACTTCAGTAAAAGGCTTTATCTGGAAAGAAGGCTCGGGCTTTGAAAATCCTTTCTGAGATGGCCCAGTTAGGATAAAAGCTTTCCTCTAATTCTCACATACTTGTGACATTCAACTTTACTATCTTTTGTTGGTTGGCAAGAGTGATTATAAATAATTTAAGGATACCTCAGATCAAACAAACAAATAATTAGAGTTGACATTAGGAAAGCCAACAAGACCCTAATTAATTTATTTGCTAATAGCTCTTCTCCACTGACAGACATTAGCCCAAATTGAGTTTTAAACTGTGACAAGGGCCACAAGATAAACATTTTCTTTCCCTAAACTCCTGATTCCCCGCCAGCCTCCCAGTCTTGCCATTCACCAGTCCTTGGGGGTTCAGGGTCTCTAACGGTTGAGGCTAATTCTGAATAGCTCCTATGTGAAACATAAGCTTCATCTAGAAGCTCTTTGCGGAATGGTCAATGTGATGACTGTGTTTTGTTTTAGAATTTTTCAGTTTTACCTTTTCTGCAAGGAAGGAAACATGGCTTAATTAAATCCTCATGGAAGCCAGGGCACGTGGTGAGTGAAACCTTCCCCAGTGGATGGTCAATAATGACAGTTCTGTTCTAGAAACCCAGGGGCCAGAGAAACCTGTAATCCAGTCCTCACTGTGTGACAAACTGCGCCAAGCCTAATGGCGCAAAACAACCAGCATTTTGTTATCTGTAACAACTTTGCGGGTTGGCTGAGCCCAGCCAGGTTTTTTTTTTTTTTTTCTGTTCCATTTGATGTCATCAGGGCTGTGACATCTGGAGCCTGGCAGGGCTGCAAACTCCAAACTGGAGCACATACAGGGGGCAGCAGCAGCTGGCCATCTGAGGGAGCTCCTGGGGGAATGACGGTGTCAGGTTTCCAGTTTGAGCCTTTTTTTCAGCGTTGAGGACTGAACCCAGGCCCTTTGCCCTGAGCTACAGCCTCAGCCCTTTTTAATTTTTTATCTTTTGTCTCACCAAGTCCCTGAGTTACCCAGGCTGGGCTTGAACTTGTGATCCTAATGCCTCAGCCTTCTAGACAGCTGGGACTGTAGGCATGTGCTACCATGCCTGGGCTATGGGGTTCTTACAGCACACTGGCTGGGTACAGGAGCAAGTGTTCTGCAGAGTGAGATGAGGAGGAACCCCATGTCTATCACACTCCTAGCAGTCACAGCACTTCCCTGGGCAGCCCTGAGTCAGTGTGGCTACACCAGGAAGCATGCGGAGGACCACCTTTGGCGACTGGGTACCACAAACATTTAAAGCGCTCGGGAAAGCTCTCCCTGTTGTTCTCTGTGACCTTCTTTCGTGGTACTGAAAGTGACCAGTTGGGCTCAGGGCTAAGTATTCTGGGCTGTCTCTTTAGGAACAGATTAGAGGTGAAAGCTGTTCTGAGAAGAAGCAATGTTACTACTCTTGAGTTTTGCTTTGTGTTAATCAGAGCCAACAGGTGGCCAGCTTCCCTCTCTCCAGGGAGCTTTTCTAGACATTTCCTCCCAGTTTATGATGGCTAGAGGAAGTCTCTGGCCAAGGGTGTGGGTTGGAATTCCAGCTCTTTCCATTACCTGCTGTGTGAATCTGGGCGAGAGAGTGGTCCTTTCACACCTTCATTTCCCCTTCTGCACGATGGAGCATCCATCTGAGCACACAGACTGTGACCAAGTTTTAGCCCAGTGTGTGGCATGGAAAGAGAGCTCAGAAGCCGGAGGTTACTGCTGCCCTGTCCTAGCAAGTGTGGGTGGAACCTAAGCATCCAGGAGCTGAGCTCAGAGTCTAGGATGCTGGCAGGTCACAGTCAGACAGGAGGGCATCTCCTAAGCCAATCCTCCGTCACTCAGGTGCAGATGTCACTGTGACACGTAGCCTCCCCTTTGTTCCTCTGGTGCTTGGGCCCTGTTTCGTGTCCATGCCATGAAGTTTGCTTCAGGTGCCAAAAGGGGCCGAAGTCGGAGAAGCCTGGGCAGCAGTGGGTGGAACCAGGCCAGGGACACAAGTAGCCAGATTCTGTCTCTGTGAGGACGTTAGGACATCAGAACCTCTTGGATGTGTGACCTGTGGGCTCTGAATTCTTTTAAATTATTTCACAGCTCCTGTATAGAAAATATGGGATAGTGGCTATTGTACACTGATCAGGAGTGCAGAGTGGCGATACTCGTGAACTGCGACACCCAGGGAGGCTAACTTGGGTGTTCCACGGCCTCTTGTCTCTAACATTCGTTGGGCGCAGGCTGCACTGTGTCTCAGTGCCCTGGGTTTCTTGTCTCCTCCAGCCTCATTGTTTCCACGTGCAGGGCCTTAGACAAACTCACTGGCCTCCTGTCCCACACATTATTCCTTTTTTATTTCTAATCCATACACGTCTGTAGTACACACGATTGTGTTCCTCGTGGGGAACTGGTATGTGCACATAACACATCTTAATTCTTTTTAACCCCCTTTCCCTGCCCCTTCTCCATCTCTTGGTCCCCTTCCCATTTGCAAAAGATCTACCACCCCATTTCCTATTACCTAGCTTTTATTTTGCTCATTATTTATATTTTGTGTTTCTTGTACAAGAGAAACCATGCTTTATTTAAGCTTGTGTGTCTGACTCATTTCACTTAACATTATGGTCCCAAGGTACTTCCATTTTCCCAAAGATGACTCAAATTTATCCTTCTTAATGGCAGAGTAGGACTTCATTGTGTATAAATACTATATTTTATTGATCTGTTCATTTGTGGGTAGGCATACAGACCACTTCCAAGATTTAGCTATTATAGATTGTGCTGCTATAAACATGGGTGTGCATGTATCACTGAAATATGATGTCTCTAACTCTTTAGGGAAGATATCCAGAAGAGAAATAGCGGGGTCAAATGGAATATCTAGTTTTAGGTTTTTACTGAATTCCCTAATGGGTGTACTAGTTTAGATTCCCACCAGCAATGTAAGGGTTCTACTCTCCCTGTAGTCTCACTAGCATTTGTTGTTATTTGATTTACTGATGGCCATTCTTTATGGAGCAAGATGGAACCTCAGTGTTGTTTTAATTTGTATTTCTCTAGTGGGCTGAGATATTGCATATTTTTTCTTATATTTATTGGCCACTTGTACTTTTTCTGAGAAGTGTCTATTCATTTAAATTGCCCATTTTTTGATTGTGTCTTATTTTGGACATCTTCATTTTTTGGAGTTCGTATTCTAGATATTAGTCCTCTGTCTGAGGAATAACTACTAAAATTTCTTTCCCATTCTGTAGGTTGTCTTTTCACTGTGTTGGTTGTTTTCTTTGCTATGGAGAAACCTATTAATTTTATGTACTCCTATTTGTTGATTCTTGGTGTTATTTTATGTACTCCTATTTGTTGATTCGTGGTGTTATTTCTGGTATAAGAATTCTGTGCAATTGTGGGTCTGTTCGGAAAGTTCTTGCCTACACCTATTTCTTCAAGTGTTTTAGCTATTTTATCTTCTGACAGATTAAGTGTTTCTGTTTTAACATTTAGATCCTTGATTCATTTTTCTTTTGGTTTAGTGCATGTTAGGAGATACGGGTCTAGATTCAATCTTCTGCATGTAGATAACCAGTTTTCTCAGCACTGTTTGCTAAAGAGG